ATAAATAATGAAAATTTTTAATAAAAAATCGCGCGATATAAAGTGGCAATACCAGCGATTTGAGGTTATAATAATTTTAGCAGGCGCAAAGTTTGTTTACTCTGTTTTATTAACGAAATATATAAAATAAAAGTGAATAAATGATTTGGTTTGCATAAAATAATAACCGGAAACGTTTTAGTAGTGTTTTTGTTCATAACTTTTAAATGGTTAATAATATTACCTCCCCCCTCCGGATTGTTATTAGGGGGGCCGAAACGCGTCGTTTGGTACCCCTCCCGACTTTTCCGCCCCTTTTTTAGGGGTTGTTACCCCCCCCTAGAGAATTACCAAAACGAGTTTTGGGTTTGTGAGCTGAAGGCTGTTCACACCGGCTGTTAGTGTTTTTGTTGACATTTCTTACATCCTCTGATTACAGTTTTGCTACACAAAAACAAAACCAAAAAGCCTTTCCCTCTTTTTATTTTTATTAGCAACCTCTTACTTTCATTCTTATTTTACTTTGGCCAGCCAATTAACAATAAATCCGAAATGGCATATTAAAGATGATAAAATATGACTTCCACTTCGAGAAATAATGGAAAAAAACTAGTGAAGACACCGATTGGAATGAGTGGAACGTGAGTTTTCAAGTAGTTTTCAGCGAAAACTAGTTTTGGTTTGACAGATATTACAAGATTTAGGTCGAAAACCAGTTTTAGCAACGAAAACATGTTTTCGATTTCGGTCAGAACATGGTATTAGGTTTGTAAGAAGTTAAATTTTGTTTCGTTTTGGTAGATTTGGGAAAATTTTAGAATAGTAACCACGGAGTATGGAATGGTAGTAGTGCACTTTAGCGGAACCAGGTCAAAATGGACGGAAAAAACTAGAGTGGTATCAATCGACGCGTCTTGACGCCAATAATAATAATCAGAGACCGGAAATTAACATTTTTAATTCATTGAAGAGTTATTCGCAAAAACCACTCGCACTTTTCGCTTTGCACTTTTTTTGTTTTATATACAAGACATTTTTATAAAACACCAGTGACCATAATAGGCATCACTGGGACGGTAGCCCCAGGTTTACCACACAGAAAGGGAATTCTAGTTACCTCATCCTTTCCCAAGGCTACATCAGAAAGGAACTCTACGCAAAAATACTGTGGACGCAAGTGAAAATTGTGAATTTTGGCCATTTTTCTAAAGGTTCCCTAGGGAACTTAGGGAATAATTCTTAAATTGATTAAAAATCTTAAATTCCGGTCTCGGATTGTTATTATTCGCGTTAAAACGCGCCGATTGATACCCCTCTTGATTTTTTTTGGTCAATTTTGGCCTGGTTCCGCTGATGTGCACTTTTACCTACGGAATTAAGGCAGAGGGGGTACATAGACAACTGTAAATTTTCAAACCGCGGAACCTTATGGTTTTTAAGTAATTTGTTGTTAAATTTTGTAAGTTTAAAAAACTTGTATGGCACTATTTCACAATATTTAGTGCACTTTCCACTAAATTTACATGATATTTACACTCAATATATGTTTAGTTAGAGTGCGCACTACCAAGCAAATAAAAACTTTTAGTATATTACAGCTTTTTTATGAAAAATTCATTGTTAAATTATTATGAGTGTACAAGCAGAATATTTGCAGCCACTTCACTAATATATTTTTGTATACCCCTTCACTTTACACTTCACTCGATTAGTTATAACTTTCTTCACGACTTTAATATTAACCAATTAGATTAAATAGAGGAGTTCAGCTGTCAAACTCCAAAATATTCCAAAGAATGAGAGACACAAGAAGATAGGATATAACCCAGTCAGCATTAAAAGTGTACAAAGGTGTTCTCTGCAAAAGGTGTTCAGCTCCTTTTCTTCGCAAAACAGAAAGGATAATTCTACTGCCTGAGGGTTATAATCCCTAAGTGCGGCCGAAGGCCGCCTACGCAGAGAGGTGTTCTCTGCAAAATGTGTTCAGCCCCCCTTCTTTGGCAACACAGAAAGGAGAATTCTACTGCCTGAGGGTTATAATCCCTAAGTGTGGCCGCACGCCGCCTACGCAGAAACGAATTATACGCAAAAATACATTTGTTAAAAAGAACTTTTTTTTTTCTATTTTTAATTAACATTTTTATTCTTTATTCAAAATCGCCCGATATATATTTTGGCATAATTTCTTTTATTATGCTTGCGCGCCGAACACTATCTTGTCCGCGGATCTGGCCCAAGAGCTAGGGCTTCAGGAAACCTATATCGGCGGGCAACGAGGGTGTTTCCTATGCATAAGGGGCAAGCATGGGCAGAACAAGCGGGTGGCGACCCATGCGCTTATTATACCCCACTACAGCCATGTCTCACCTAGGACTAATGTGGATCCCTCAGTTGCTACGCCGTATATCCAATTCGGCTTGCGGATCCAAATTTTTTCGCATCAGCACCGATACGCCTTGCCCTTGGGTCGGACGTATATGCGGACCTAATCTTGCCCGGAACTTTACCGACGTCGTTTGGCCCCCTCATTGCGCAAAGCACTATTTTTGGTTGGGTGCTGTCAGGGGCGTGCCGGCGTAAATTTAACTTATTTAAAAAACCAAAATAAGATGTGAATTATTTGAATTTTTTTGTAATGAAATAAAGTGCATTGAATTATAACCATGCTTGTATCCCATGATTTTCACTCTATGATTTACTAGGTGTTTTAGGGGAAAAAGGATGGAACCGGCCGTCGAAGATCTTGGTGATGGTGGCGCCGCTCTCAACAGCACAACATACATGAATTCACACACTTGTTTTGTAATTGTAAGAACATATGAAGCTGGTAGCTCGAGCGTTTCCCAAGCACAGATGTTGCGTCCCGCAAGGGGGGCGGCATGTTTAGGCCTTCAGCCTAAATATTTCAAAAAGCTCCACCCTAATGCCATTTTCTCTAACTCACTCAAATACGTATTTGTGTACGCATGCGTGTGTATATAACTATACATGCGCACGTATGTATACACATACGTATTAACGCGAAGACTTGGGCCGTTAGCAAGTCCTTCTCGCCGGACAACGAACTTTCGTTAACTTTCCCCTTCTATATCGGTGTTTGTCCGGCGGTCCGCAACTAACGCGATTTAATTTATTCCTTCACTTCTCTTTTGAATCATCAAGGAAGAACACCGGAGCTACCAGCCTCATCGATAATTTCCGCATTAAGGTAATATATATATAAACGAAGGTGAATATTTGGAGTTATGTCGAGGGTATGCTAAGTATGAGCGTGAATTCGGAAAAAAGACACATGGGTCAACACATAAGTATAACTTGCGTGATCTGGAGAATACACCCCGATCACTAAAGCGACTAATGGATCTCCCCCGAGTCCTATAACAAGCCGAGTACCACATGCAACAACAATGGACCCAAGAAACAGTATTTGGCTGGATAATAACAGGGCGAACTGATACCTCGAATCCAGGAACGAATATCGTCTCATACTACAGCGAAGTTAGTCTGGACAAGCAACTGAGTGCCTTTTGGGAGCTTGAGGAGATTCCAAAGAACAAGAGCCTTAATGAAGACGACAAGTACTGAAAAAAAATATATATATATATTAAAACTACAACTACGAGAAAAAACATTAAAAATATAAACATATATACTATACACGTGTACGTATGTACATACATACATATGTACATAAAATAGATTTGCATTTGCTCATTTACGTCAACTACTCCATGCTAATTTCAATTTAAATGCCACATAACTACCCCTTTCCCTGACCGTAGACCACGCCCAGACATTTTTTATTTTTTTATTTTATAATTAATTTAGACAAAATTGTCGTGACAAAACAATTTCTTAGTCACCCGTAAATCAAAAGTAATATTCAAAGACATTTTAAAAGTAAAGAATTTTTGTTTCAGTCGAGTTGTATTTTAGGAATTACTTAATTGTTATGGCTAATTTTCATAAAGGAAAAATCTCCCTGAGGCAATACTTCTCCTTTAGAGTGGATACCACAGTTGGACTGTAGAATGGTATACAGTCGCGAGCAAAATATGACTAGCTTTAAAAGGATTAAGTACAATTACTTGTATAAGGCGTTTTAGCCTATTTTGAAAATGTAATGTTTTTTTGTATATTAATCCCCGTTTCATTATTCCAGTAGCATTCAAGTCCAGTGAGCCAGCCCAGCGTTGGATTAGAGATAAAGTTAGTAAACAATTACCATAAAGCCTTTCCCGGAGTAAATAAGGTTCTTTCTTTGCCAGAAGCTCCTGAAGTGTCATATCATCAGCTGTTCTGTGTTGTCAAAGCAAGTTGAGTAATCAACAAGTAATTTTTAAGCAAAAAACAAAACCGACTTTAATTATCATATAAATATATTTCATGATCCAATGATCGGATCTAAACAAGATTAGTATGCGACCACCTCTGAGACACATACCTTTCCAATGCAAAATGATTTATCGAAATCGGTTGACATGGTCCAAAGTTATGCGGTAACATACATAAAAAAAAATATTCTGACGAACTGATAACCTCCTCCTTTTTTGGAAGTCGGCTAAAACGAAAAGTATAACTGCATTTTCATCTGACTGAAAATATCGTAACGAATAAATATTTAGTATTTTGTCTATTTACGTGTATATATGCGCATAATTTAGCAAATTACTAGATGATAAAAAAAAACTATAGTGCTTATCATATACATATATAGACAAGCTTTGGCTATTTATTTTATTATTTTTTAATTTTAAGTAGCTGTTTATAAAAATATAGTTTACTTTTTAACAAAACCTGTACAAATCAAAGTTTTGATCTTCGTGCAACATTAAAAAATAATCAACAAATTTTCGTAAAAATTTCGAGCTTTTTAATTAGATATCTCAGAAACACTTACTGTTAATTTTCGGCAATTTTTTTCGAAGATGTTGCTCATTTGTGTACTTGATCGAATCATTTTGTGAAAATATTAAATTTTGAACAATCGGAGGCGATTGAAATAAATTAAAAAAAAAAAATCATTTTAAATAAATAAAATAAAACGTGAGATCGATGGGGATTTTGACATTTCATTTATAATAGTATTTGCAAATCACGTACCAATTTTCAGCTTTATGCGAATTATTGTAACCTTGAATGTCTAACTTGACCGGTGACTTGGTGTAGTGGTTGGCAGAGTGAACTACCATTCTGCAGGCCTGGGTTCGAGCCCAATTTCGGACCAACATCAAAAACACAAAGACAAATTCTAATAGCGGCCGCCCCTCGGCAGGCAATGGTGAACCGCCGAGTGAATTCTGCCATGAAAATCAGTTTCTCATAAAAAATACAATTGCCCTTCGGAGCCGTCGCAAAATTGTAGTGCTGAGGTTCCGCAGCAGGGTTTTCAGGCGTTGCAGCTTTCAAAGTTGTTCAGGCCTTTTCCTGCTTGAAATTTCTTGACATTCTGCAGTGCATATTTGTAAACATTTTCATTATAAAAACTATTCTTTGAATTTTCTCTTTTTGAAATTCAAAAAGATTATTTTATAAAAAATTTAGTAGCAAATTGTTAACAAATATCCAGAAGTGTTATGCTGAATTTCCATTAGGCATTAAAATGGCAAAAAATATATGGCATTTAAAAAAATTCCATGTGGAAATGAACATAATAACAATTTTTTTAACGTAATGACACAAATATTTTTTAATGCCAAACTTTCTCATATGTCATTTTTGCCATTTAATGCCTAGTGGAATCCAGCATTACGATGAGTTTTCCGACCAGTGAGATGCGATTATAAAATGAGAGGTCGAACAAAATGTGATACTCTTTTACTATTTAATTTCAATTCATTCAGAATTTTTTTTCCGTTTTTCACATTAATGTTAAAATCAGAGACCTAAAATAATTATTATCCTAATATTTGAGATCAAAAACGTCGCCTTGTTTTAAGAGAAATTTTTTCGTCTTTGTATAATAATTATTTACGAGAAATATCTTTTTTTTCGTCTCGCGGGACGTAAATCATTGTCGTCTTGAAATAAACGTCCCGAGAGGCGTAAAAATATAAAAATCCCATATACTTAATTATTATGAGAAGACGAAAATAATTTACATCTTAAAATAGTCGTCCCGCGAGACGAAATGAAATGAAATGAAATTTAGCATCTTTCAGGCTTTTCAGACTTCGGTTATGGAGCAGCTTATATACAATTGCATTCAATCATTACGGAGCTTCAGCTTAGGTCCCTCCCCTTTGAGTGACAACATGAAGGCGCACGCCACAAATCGGAGGAGAAGCTCGGCCAAACACTAACATATTGTGTAAGCGCCAACTTAAGTATTATTATTGCTAGAAATTTCGTTAGTCTCTTCATGATCCAATGATCGGAACTAAATCAAATTAAGTAGTATGGGTTCGCCCTTGATGTACCAAATTTCCGATAAAGGAGTTATCGAAAACGTTGCACGCCGTCAAAAGTTAACCTCCTGTTTTTTTGAAGTCGGTTAAAAACAATCGCGAAACTTAGATTAATTGTCCTTTTTCCGGAAAAGGTGTTCAAACTGACAATAATGCAATAAGTAATTTACTTAAAGAAATTATTTGATTTTTACTCTGATGATTTGGATGGAAGTTTTGTTTTGATGTGTTAAAATGGAGATAGGTATTTGGAATACAACTTTCTTTCAATTTGAAACTTGAAGATAGGCCAAAGACTGTTTGGAAATGACGTGTTACCAAATATATTTAATTTATTTACTATTCTAGTAACTCTTCCTATAACAAGCACAATGTAACATTGACTTCTCCTACAGTGGAAAGAGTTTTGTGTATACAAACTTGCTGCGAAATCGAGGAAAATAGGCATAGAACTGTAATAATTTATTAGAATTAACACATTTACTTTTATTAAAAAAAATGTATTACTTAGGAATTTCGAGCGCATCTTAAGTATAACGAATTTTTCCCGAAACACATCTTTGAATTATTTTTTAGTTTTATACGTAATCGACAATTTTTTCAATAACTTTGATGCAGAATAGGAATATTTCTGCATCAAAAATAATTTGAAAAAAATGTCGCTTACATTTTTTTGGCCGTTATGGCTCGATATGTGCTGTTAATTAAATTTTAAAGAGTAGGGGGTTATCGAGTACACGAATTGCACGGTAAAAACTGCCTTTTCTATGAGAAAAAACCTATTGAATCCGTGCACCCTGCAAGTGCCTTGCAAGACTTCGAGACTTCTTCATCGGGTTCACTGTTGAACCAGCGACTCCGTCTTACAAAGCCACTGAGCTTAGTTCGCCATGTAAATTGTGGTTGTTTCTTCCACTTTTTCACTTCACTATTAGTGCATTTACTAATATGAATTTAATACTAACAAAGTTCACTTAAACGCAATGGTTTTTAATGCGCCACGATGATACCACTTTCGACCATTTTGGATATATGTACGCATTTTCGTTGGAGTCCACAACCTACACTATTACCTGTTTTTTAATAATTTNTAATGCGCCACGATGATACCACTTTCGACCATTTTGGATATATGTACGTATTTTCGTTGGAGTCCACAACCTACACTATTACCTGTTTTTTAATAATTTTTTCTATGCCAGTATTTTTGAGCTGGACAAGCGCGCAAGCATTCATACGAGCATAACCGCAGCAATCAGAAAACGGTGGCTAAAACCTGATCTTGAAGGAGATCAGAAGAGAAGAAATATGAAAGAATTGTCTTAACAGTATCACATAGATGAGGGGGTTGCGTTCGGAATCGGGTTAGGGGGCGGGGCAGGCAGACTGGTAATGCGCGTTGGCTGAAATGAGAACAATCGTGTTCATAAAAAAGCCCAATAACCACGCGCAGAATGCAGATAGATCGTATATTTTAAGAGTTGGATGTTGGTGAGAGAGTGAGGTTCATTTTTTAGATGTATGTATGAATGTGGCTATGCATGTATGTAAAAACTATACATATATTTACTTGAACGTAATAAATAGTTAGGGCTGCAGAGAACGGGCACTAGGCCGAGGTACAAATTGAGCGTACACCGAAACTTTGATGTTAGAAAGCACATCTAGAACCAGTTGCCGTTGACGAGTTGTGCGCGATGATTTCATGATTTGATATTGTAAATTTATGTGGTGTTGTATGTATACTTAATAATCGATATTTTCCAGTGATTTAATGAAAGTAAAAAGCTAATTAAGGAGCTCATATGCTTTGCATGCAAAATAGAAGTGCACAATCTATATATGTACATACATGCACAATATATGAAAGCAGTATTCACTATACATATTTTAAATAGAGTAGAAGCAACGAATATGAAGCAAAATGCTAACATACATAAGTTCGAGATTAAAAAATGAAGTGAACGAAGAAGAAATAATACACAATTAAATAATAAAACGACGAATAAACTTAACAAAAGAAAAAATATCTAAATGGTCGCGGCCACTTGGCAACAGCTTTTCGATAACAAAGCGAAATGAAAACATAACGTAGCAACAATAACAAATGCTGCATTAAATCTGCACTGCATTGCACCTTCAACAGTAGAACTACAATTAAAAAGTACTCATATTTGAAGCAAAACTTATTAATACAAAGTGAACGAATAGTTAGTGGAAAAAATTTGCAATACTTTTCTCTTGCTTACGACGAGTATCAATAGCTTTGTATATACTATATGTATAAATTTGTACATACAAACGTATTTCTGCGAATTTGCATTATACGATTAAAAGTGCTAAATGTGTAATTTGCTTTACACTATTTCGATACTTTCCGACCACAATATCAGTTTTTTGTTCGTTTTGGAATTCCAGCTTCAGACACGCATTGCGCGAAACTCAATTTACAAAACATTCTAAAGAAAACGTGAAAATCGTGCAAAATACCAAAAATAAAAACATCCGCGGTATAATTGGAATGGAAAAGAGAGCATCAAAATCTTGATATGTGCATACATTCATACATATGTACATACTCGGGTATTCTACACTCAACAATTCGACACATCTCTTAAAAGTTGATTTTCTGATTCGCTGCTGACAAAAAAATTAAAAAAGGCGGCTCCAAAAAATTAAGAAATAATATAAGTAAAGTAAAAAACTTTATTCAAATAAAAGTTCTGAAAAAAGCAATAACAAGAATGAAANTGCTTTTCTCTTGCTTACGACGAGTATCAATAGCTTTGTATGTACTATATGTATAAATTTGTACATACAAACGTATTTCTGCGAATTTGCATTATACGATTAAAAGTGCTAAATGTGTAATTTGCTTTACACTATTTCGATACTTTCCGACCACAATATCAGTTTTTTGTTCGTTTTGGAATTCCAGCTTCAGACACGCATTGCGCGAAACTCAATTTACAAAACATTCTAAAGAAAACGTGAAAATCGTGCAAAATACCAAAAATAAAAACATCCGCGATATAATTGGAATGGAAAAGAGAGCATCAAAATCTTGATATGTGCATACATTCATACATATGTACATACTCGGGTATTCTACACTCAACAATTCGACACATCTCTTAAAAGTTGATTTTCTGATTCGCTGCTGACAAAAAAATTAAAAAAGGCGGCTCCAAAAAATTAAGAAATAATATAAGTAAAGTAAAAAACTTTATTCAAATAAAAGTTCTGAAAAAAGCAATAACAAGAATGAAAGTTAATAAATAATTGTGATACTTTTTCAAAATGTTGTTTAAAGTGCCCGTTATTGGATTTGCTTAGTAATTTCCCACTTACAACTTGTCGAATACATGCATCGTAATTACAATTTTCCTCCTGAACGGCCTTATCAGTTACTGTGTGAAATAGTATTTTACTTACATTTCGTTACATTCCAAACATTCGCTAAAATCGTGAAAACCTATGGAAGACCCATCTATCAAAAAGCGGTAAGTAACTCTAACAAATGGATATTAAATTTTAATTTTTTCTTGCAAACACATACCCTCCACAAAAAAAAAAAATTATCAAAAATCAACGCGAAAACAACCATTAAATAAGTATCAGAAATAGCCAAAACTAGTCAAAATGTTACTGGCTTAATTAGTTAAGCACAACGACAGGTACTGGGTAAACGGGCTATACTTACCCGGGCAGGGTGTGGGAAAGTTTTTCATACATTGAAAGAAGCACACGTGCGGCAGTAAATACAGATATGAGATACTTCTTCCAAAGACGCCTATAAAACACATTGAAAATATTTACTTATAAAATAAAATTTTCGTGGAGCAAGTTAGCTTAGATTTGTCCTTTAAGGACGTTTGTTTGCATGCGTTGTGTACTTATAATTACAAATACGCTTAAATTGAACCTTCTGCACTTGCACGGGTGCCTGGGTACCCAGGTAATCTTTAGACTACCCGGGTAAAATCATCAGCCCTATCTATTATGAAGAAATATGTACATATTTTCCCACAAGTGTGTGGTATGCAAAAACAAACAAGTAATTTTTAAGAAAAAAAAGGAACTGGCCTAATGCTTGTATAAAAATTTAGGAGTGCCATTAATTTAAAAAAGGTTTTACATATTTAAAAATGAAAAATATAATGTCTATAAAACTTACATATGTATTTATAATACTGAATTTTAAATGGCTTTATGCAGCTCCCACTGATGCCGCACAAGCAATAGGAGGGAATTTTTTTTCTATAAAAATTTCTTAAAATAGTATGCAGCCCTCAAGAAAAAAATGCTCGAGAATTTACTTCTTCCCGAAAATTTACAACAACAGAAAAGTAATTTCTTAAGCAACAGAAATAATAAAAATGTATTTCTGATTTTTCTTGAGAACTCAAGAAACTTAAATTAAAACTAAGATCACAATTTTCTTTTTCCGATTTTTTTTTTATGAAAATCCATATTATTTCTTATTAACAAACACACCACCATTTTTACTTATAGTCTCAAAGCCAATACTTCTGAAAAAAAACTTTAAATATAACTGTAGATGTGACAAACAAAGGATACGTCACTCACACCTTGTGGGAAATTATTACCCCACGGACCTGTGCAGGCCAAGCTAAGGACTTTCATTGTGAAACGCGTCGTCAGTCTTCAAGTACTCGCACTGCACTGAGAATTCTCAAAAAAAAGATACCACTATCTTTGTTAGAAATTTTTTTTTATTATTTTTTTTTTNAACAAACACACCACCATTTTTACTTATAGTCTCAAAAGCAGTTTTCTGAAAAAAAAACTTTAAATATAACTGTAGATGTGACAAACAAAGGATACGTCACTCACACCTTGTGGGAAATTATTACCCCACGGACCTGTGCAGGCCAAGCTAAGGACTTTCATTGTGAAACGCGTCGTCAGTCTTCAAGTACTCGCACTGCACTGAGAATTCTCAAAAAAAAGATACCACTATCTTTGTTAGAAATTTTTTTTTATTATTTTTTTTTTCGCTTGATGCAAAAAATTATTCCAGGATATTACTTCGTAATTAACGCCTGAGTCTTTGATTCTAAAGCATGGCTGATCAACGCTCATAGGCTGATCTCACGACTGTCGGTTTTCTGTTACTTATTAGGCCCTAGGTTTGCACAAACTCATATAACTACATATGTGCATACCTAGTTGCTAGTTTGAAGACAACGTAAGGTGCTGCTTTGAGATCAAAACTTTAAGCTGATTACTTAACGATTTTGGTGTTCGATCACTTCTTACACCCTCACACTGAAGTGACCTGCAGAAATTGGGGTCGTGAAAAACTAATGTTGGAAACAAGAAGGAAATCACCCAAACCTTTATGAATTGCGCAAATTAAGTCGTCGTATAAAAGTAGTCAGTAAGCAGTGAACGAAGTTACACAACACGGTTTCCAAGGCAGACGTGTTTGCACGATCGGAATGACCGAGGAAATTTCGGGGTCTTTTTTGGGAAACGTCGTATGCTGTTGTACATATAAAAAATCAGGACACTATGATTGGTAAGCAGGTTCTGCTTGGTTGTTTCTTTATACCGAACATCACCAACGCATTAAGCTCTGTAGTCTCAGCTAGGAATCTATATATATAATACGCGTAGGGATTTTTTGTGCAGCATAAAAGATCTGTACCGTTCACCCGATTTACGTGTGTCAAGTTAGCACTACACTTTTCGAAATTGGAAAAGTTAACTACGGCATTAATTGTAGTGTTTTTGTTGTAAATTTGTTGTGGAAAGAAAAAATTTGTAGCTCTCGTTTTTTAAGAAAAAATGGTATGTAGTGCTAACTTGACACCATACACCTAGTCGATAGAATTGAGATAT